GCGTGGGAAAGAGCCGCGAGGAGCCGACCGCGCCGCCTCCCGAGCCGCGCCTGCCGAGGCCCAGGGAGGAGGGAGGAGGCGGGCGGGGAGGGCGCTGCACCCCGCTCGGCGTCCGTGGCTCCGGCAGGGCTGCGCCCCGCGCCGTCTTCGCCGCAATGAAGCGCCCCTGCGAGGAGACGACCTCCGAAAGCGACATGGACGAGACCATCGACGTGGGGAGCGAGAACAATTACTCCGGGTGAGCGCGGGCTCGGCGGGAGCTGCTCGGAGCCCGAGGGCATCGGGGAGTTTTGTGCACGAGCGGCGCCTTGGAGATCCCGAGGCTCCTCTCCGCAGCATCCGGGCGGAGAGGGGAAAGTTTTGCCCGAGAAACTTTGAGTGGTGGGCGCTCGCAGAGCGCGAGTTGGGGTGGGGCGAGGGATGTCGGTTTTCAGTATAGGGGTGGGGCGGAGAGGACTAGGGATGCGACTGAAAAAGAGTGCAGGAGTTGGCAGGGCAAGGTTCCCGGCTGTCACCGCTGGGCGCGCGGACAGGCACGTACGGGCCACGGGAGACGCTCCCGCCACTGAAACTGTATTTGGGGACAGTTTCAAAATAGGTCAGGAGTAAAGAAAAACAATTTGATTTTTTATTTTTAGAGAGACTGATGACTTGCTTTTTGAAGAAATTAAAGTAGTCTGCGATGTCAAGGCTAAGTAGGTTGAGCTAAGTAGGTTGAGCTGTGCAGGTTGACCGTATGTGCGCGAGTGAGTGACAGATGTAACGATCGGATCGGGCATCTTTTCTTTGACTGCTTGTACTTAAGTCTGGAAAAGATCGGCGTTGTGATCACAGAAGCCAGACCTCCACTTTCCTGTGACAGAGGGAGATTACCGAGGCATTTTAGAGCCAAGGCGGGTCAAATGATAATTGCTTCTAATTGGCATCCCATCCCCAGAAGCACTTTAATTATTTATCTGCAGCTGTCACTCAAACAGCAAAATTCTTCCTACCTTTGGAAAACTGGTTTTCTTTCATAATGTTAATCTTATACAAACCAAAGCCTGAAATCAGCAAGAGCAAAGATATTTACATGAAACGTTGTTTGCAAAGTATCTAACTATTCAAGTGTTATGTCATCTTTAAAAATGAGGTCTGAAAAAACGGAAGTGTCTGTGAAAGTTGAAACCAGTAGAGAAGGAGTGAGAATGAGGGGGACAGTTAATTGAGAAATAAGATCCAGAAGTGAAAAGGTGAGGTAATAGGAACCTGGTGTGTGCAACATTTCTGAAATGAAAGAGAACAAATGACAAGAACCTGGAGAATTTGAGAACATAAAGCAGCACAGTCTCCATGAATTATGAGGAGAAACAGATACGAAGTAGAAAGAATTGTAAAAATTATGTGACCAAATAATAGTTTGATTAAACTTTCAATATAAAAATATCTTTTCATTAGTCAACTGAGGGTTGCAGCTAGAGATTTAAACTTAGATTGAAGGCTGAGAGAACACCTACAGTTTCATATTCAAAGTAAAACACTTACTTAGTCCTAAACCTAATTTTAATTTCCCAAAGATTAGTATGAAAAAGAACCCATCAAATTTGTTGGGTTTTTCTTGTAAAATGTGACTAATGGAAGTTTTGAAATAATAAGATAACTTCTGTTTAAAGATTGCATGTAGGGACAAGTTCCACATGTGACGGCTGTATATCTGCTTGATAGTGGTCCTTAACATGACCCTTATTTTAAAAAGGTGTATTGCTTTGTTCCGTGTATCTGACAGAAGGGAAGAGGAGGGATGCTATTAGTTGACTTTTAAGAAATGTATATGAGTGAAACTAGGAAATACTACTATCTAACTTCTCACCATAACTGCCCATAATTATTTAACTGGGAAACTCAAGTAAAACCTCAGGGACATTTTGCCAATGGATTTGACATCTGGGTTAACCATTAGCTATTTTTTTAAGGCATAATTTCTACCTAAAAAGAGACATAAGGGCTGGAATGAAAGTCTGTTAAGAGTGAAGCAAGAACTAAGATTGAAATAACACAGACATGAACTGTGCAGTCACTCTGAATATTTAATGGGTGCCATTAAGTACCCAGAAGAAACAATTGTTATGTTAATGCAGCACCTGACTTACTCTTCCTATTTCATAGGCAAAGTACTAGCTCTGTGATTAGATCCAACTCTCCAACAACAACGTCTCAGATTATGGCCAGGAAGAAAAGGAGAGGGGTATGTGTTATTTTTTTCTTTTTATTTCATGTAATTCAGCCTAATGTGTAACAGTTGTATTTTTCCATTCTAAGGAATTTTATCATTTATGTATTCATAAACTTTTGTTGTTTTGCTTTCTTTGGGACAGATTATAGAGAAAAGGCGACGAGATCGGATAAATAACAGTTTATCTGAGTTGAGACGACTGGTGCCAACTGCTTTTGAAAAACAAGTAAGCTACTCCCCCCTGCCCACAAAAGAGCTCAAACAATCTGATTCTCTCATCTGGGAATGTGGGTTCTTGTTAAAGCTCATTAAAATAATGGTGTATGTTCCCTGATCTGGCACAGAGCAGCTATTTCAATAAAATGCTTTGTTGTGGCAGAACTATTAAAAACATAATCCATCATGAAGTTGAAAAACATTTCCATTCTTTAGCTTATTTTTCCCTTAAGGGTAACAGTGTTCATGCTTTCTCTGTTCTTTCTATGAATACCAGTAGTGGTTTTGTTTAAAACCATGCTGTATGTAGTATTCTTCAAAAAAAAAAAAAAAAAGTTACATATTTAAAGTATTATTTTTTTCTTAAACTGTTTGAAAAAAGTAATCTTTTTATTTAAAAAATAATCAAAGCCCAGGAAGTAACGTCTTTAACTCTATTTCCTAAATAATAATACTAATAAAATTTATTTACCAAGACATTTGCTTTCATTTTTAATCCCTGGATTAACCGGATGATGTTTGATTTAGGGAAGCTTGGTAAAAATCAAATCAGTCATAAATGCCCTTTTCTAAGTGTGCAAAATCTTCTGAAAAGTAGAAAGTTAAATGTTTAAATCTTCAAAAAGTCAAGTTTCTCTCCCTGCCGCAATGACTAATGGCACAGATTTTAAGAGAATCTTTCAAAGGATATGGCAGCATGTCCTTGTTGAAAATTTTCAATTTAATTCAAATAGGGTATAAGACAGTAGTTGTTTGTTTATTCCATTTTGTCTTTTACTTCATGAATCCACAAACATAAAACAAGCCCTTGGAAATTATCCAGAAACTGCAGTTTTAGTTATTAGTCATTTTCACTAAAACTACTTGTACATCTTCATGGAAAAGTTAAACACTGACAAAAATACAGGGTGTAATGTGCTATCGATTATACATTTTTAAAACAAGCAAGTCTATATGCAGAGACTGTCTTCAAAAATCAATATATACCATAGAAATTGTAGTTTTGATTAGTAGCATTTTCAATGACAATAGGCTGCAAATGAAAATGTCAGTAATCCATGCTTCGAAAATTTTGAGTACTGAAATGTCTGTAGTTAGGAGGAGCCGTCAGTTTGGTGATTTTTTTTTTTTTCTCTTGGCTTGTTAGATTTTTTTCCTTAAATGCTGACTTAAAACAAATCTTAAAAGCAAACCTCAGTTGTTTGGCAGTTAGTTACCATAAACACAAGCTTTCCCATTTACAGAGCTTGGCTACCAATCCTAGCAAGCTGGCCCTGTCACAATATGATTAGAAGAATTTTCTTGAGAGCAGTTTAATAATCCTGGCATTCTCACCATGTACTTGTTTTGTGATAATTGTCACAAAACAAGTAAAGCATAGGAACCTGAGATAAAATTTAGTATCCTTTCAAAAAAAGACATATTAGTTTAATTATTTAGCTCTTCCAGGAAATTAGAAGCCACTGTCAGCCCCTGAGACAGTTTGAGGTGGTGCATTTATATTTCAGTTGGTTTCCAGAGGTTACCTTATTTCAAAGGAGAGGGGGAGGGAGCTAAAAATATATTTCCAAGACAATTTTATTAAGAACTATTTTAAAAGGTTTGAAAATCCTGAAGCATTTATGATGCTTCCTAGATAAGTAGTAAATTATCCCTCTTGTTTATGACTTTGGGAATTCACAGTGACACCTGCTGGTTATTATTGAGGGGAAAACCTTAAAAGTCTTCCCTTGTTTATTTGTGGATCTGCTTACCAGTGGCCTAGTATGAATTACCTTAACCTCTGATTAGATTTTTCTCCTTTTGAAAAATCTCCTTCTAATAATAATTTGCTAAAATCCTATCTCCTTATCTACCAGACTTGGTATTCAACTATTCTACTGATTTAGATTTCAGTATTACATAAGACTATTGGATGTCCCGTAATAAAATATATTTTTAACCGAGATAGAGAGTGAATGTAAAGTTTGAAATTTTTGCATTGTAATAGTGGAGTGATCTTAGGAGTATAATCTAAGTATAATTATTATAATTATTCTTATGATTAAAACAATCATTTATTATGCCTTCTTCTAGTCTTTAAAAGTTAAAATGGGAAATACTACCTGCCATTAGTTAGGTATGACACAGTAATTAGGGCAAAGTTTGGAAAGAATTCAGACTTTTCTGTGAAAGAATTAAACTTAGAATTTTCTAGTGAGAGAGAAAATTGGCATCATAATGCTTAATTCAGTGTATAATGTTCCAAATTAGTTTCCATAGGACTTATGGGGACTTTATTATTTGTTTATGTAGGGATCTGCAAAGTTAGAAAAAGCTGAAATATTGCAAATGACAGTGGATCATTTGAAGATGCTTCAGGCAACAGGGGGTAAAGGTAAGTAGGTGATTTCATTTTTTCTCCCTTTCTACCTTTCTCTTTTCATTTTTCCCTTCTAATGTTGTAAGGAAGTCATAGTTGAACAGTTCTTTAACAAGCTGAGATAGACAGTCCCAGATTAAAGCCATGGAAATCAATGCTAATGGCAGGATTGAACTCGTGGGAAAGAACTTCTGGAACAAAAGAAGCACTTGACCCTGGGCTTGTGTTTGCTTTCATAATACTGTGGGAGTAAAGCATCATTCACAGTAGCCTGATTTGTTTGGGACTTAAGAAGCGCATGCTGGAATCTGTACAGAAAGACAAAACAAACATCCAAACATAAACAGGAGGTTAGAGGCAATCTTTTTCTCTTCATCTTTTCATTAAATTGAGGCTAGGACTCAAAATAATTCAGGTATTCCAAAGGAAGTGATTCTGAAATTATTTTCAATGTTGTTTTCAGATTTTGGTCAGTCTTGGATTTAGACCAAACAGAACACTTGAAGTGCAGGTAGTGAATCTCTGTACTAGAAACCATTAATGGAGCAGAATCATTCCTGAGGAGAGCACACAGAGGCAGGTGCTCCAGGACCAGTGCCCTAGAGAGATGTCTTCTGTACTAGATAGTGTCGTAGGGAGGAATTGTCAAGGGGGTTAGGGAGGGCCCCTCATCTCATGTTAAAAATAGACTTGAGATCCTAACAGCTGTAATATTTATTCAAATTTTATTTCCTGCTTCCCCACACATCACTTAGACTTGATTTTGCATCTTTTTACCCTTTTGTATGTTTTTTACCCTTCGAGGAAGGCTTTGATATTCACTCAGCCAAGGGTATTGTTGGGTATATTTAACAACCAGATAAGGAGAGGGTAAAAAGAAGTTAAGTGCTGCGACTAAATCCTGGAGTCCTCTCTGTGCTCAGCATTAGCCTTTAACTACATAGCGTATGGGTTCTAGATCAGCTCAGGGACAGGGCATTGGAGGGAAATAGCTGTTTACCAGTTGGTATGGGAGTATTTCAGTATTTAACTCCTGTATGGCCGTACTGCTGAAGATCTGTAGGATATTAGCTCTGACCTTAACCATCTTTTACCTGTGCCAGGTGTGGGATGGGGAAGCCATTGTATAGAGAAGCCCACATGGTGTGACTTACCCCAGGCTGTACCTTCTCAAGGAACTGTTCTAAATGAATAAAGAATAGCATAGGATGCAAGCAATAATAGAGAAGTGAATTGGATTAAATCATAGAAACCAGTGATCCAGCCCAGCTTGGCCACTGCCTTGCCTTTGACCTGAGACAGAAGTACTTTGCTGCACTTTGAGGCCTACCCTAGCAGGATGAGCTCCAGAGGCAGGCCCCTCCAGCCTCATGAATCTGTGTTTACAACTGCTACCTCGGGAAGTTAGGAGACTGATTGAGTTAGTGATGGTGCAAGAAAAGTTGTTTGTTTGCTCCACCTCCTTTGGCATTGTTAGCCACTGGCTAAGAATTCTTATCAGGGTTTTACATATTTGGCATGAGCTATACTTCTAAAGAGTAATATTGTTTTTTGGCTTTATTATAAAAACTGAGGTCCATCGTGGTTGCTATTCTTGGCTACCTGAACAGTCCTAAACTTTGTCCCAGAATAGTTTGTGAACAGATTTTTCCAAGCAGGCTCCATACAAGTGGCCTGACTGCCAGGTCATTAGAGATCACAGGAGAACGTGTAGGCCTTGAAGAAGGGAGACTGGCCATTTGGGTTCACATTGTCAGACTCCTGTGTGCCTCACAGTATAGTGTTGAAGGGCATAGACTCAGTAGCTGGGTTGCCTGATTTCAAACCCTGGCTCTGCCATTTATTAGCTCTGTGACCCTGGGTAAATTACAAGCTCTCTCTGAGCCTCAATTTTTTCATCTACAAAATGAGGACAGTGATAGTGTCCACCTCACAAGGTTGTCATGAGTTAATTCATTTAAAGCCTATAGAACAATGCCGGCACAGAGGAGGTGGTATGGACATGTATGCCATTGCTGGCCCAAGATCCGTTCACAGGAGACAGCTGCTCATCATCACTTCCCTCTGCATTCAACAACAGGATAGGAATTACATAACTTATATTCCTGAAGATGCAACAGAAGACTCAGCCATATACAACAGCATAGCTGGTAAACCACAAATTTCACTTGCTTCTTCATGGCCACTGATGAAAATCCTTGGAAGGTCCTAGGCTTCCAGTTCTCTTGGTTCCTTATTTGTAGTCTATCCTGGTATTATAATACTTTCTAGAGAGGATTTAGTAGAGTAACCTAAATTTCTAAATCCCTCTGGGTTTCTGGATCTGTCTACCCTAATCATTACCTCCCTCCTCTCATGGAAGTCGGAAGCCTACAAAGCCCTACAGAGAACCCTGAGGACTGAAATGTGAAATCTTTCCATGGAGGCGTCTTCTTCAGGAATAGCTTTTCCTCCTAATCCCGGGAGCTTTGTTTGCTAACTATGCCAAAGTCCTGGGACAATAACTATTTTTGTTGCCGATCTTTCGTATTTCATGATATTCTTATATCAGCTTTGTGCTGTTGTTATTTCCGTTTTAATAGTGTACATATCGGCCCCAAATGTCTTTTTGGAATGTCCAAATTTCTGTTGTAATTCTACCTTTAGGACTTTGAATATATGTGACTATAATTTTCCAACGTGTTTTGATTACAGATTAAGATAGTCTAATTTTTAATAATCAAACATTTAATACTTTCATCTGCCAAACCTTCAAAAGATAATGTAGTAAATGCCTGAGATGAAAATAACCTTGTATAATGTGATATTTCTCACTCATGGATACAGACATCCCAATAATAATAATGACAATGAGACATTACTATTTTCTATTCTAATGTATTATCTTTGGATAAAAAGGGACTCAGATAAATGTGGCCCAGCTCCAGCCATTTTTATGGTACTAACCATAGGTGTACATACACACTGACAGTTAAGATACGTGTTTTCTTGGGTGGGTGCCAGAAAAAAGTAAGCTAACCAGTGAAGGAGATATATATATTTGAACTTCAGAAAAACTTAGAAGTTATAGTAATCTCATATCAGTAAAGCAGACTTAAATTGCCTGACAAAAAATTAGATCTTTAAATTAGTAACCAAATTTTTTAAAAAATACTTCATTTTGTTTTCATTGAATTTTCTTCATACAAAGTAATGACAAGATGTTTTCACTTTGATAAAACATTTTGAGTCAAGAAGCACGTATGACTTTGAGATTCTAGCACATTTCTAAAGAAAGTCTTCAAGCTGCTAAGATGCAGTTCACGTCTTTGTTAAAATGCCAAGAGAGTAAGGATGTTTCAGATAAGCCCTTTAATCTCCAACTGATGTGACAGAGACACACTGGAACTCTGTTTTTCTATGAAGAAATTTGCTGGGGAATTTTACTATCCCACAATACAAAAGGAGAGACACCTTTTTTTTCCCTGAAAGTGTTTAAAACACGGATGTTCCTAATTTTTCCCGCACTGATATTTAGTTGCAAGAACAACTGTAGCATATCGCATTGCCAGCTGTCACACATGTGAATTGCAAAATACACTTTCTTCTGCAAACATTAAAACCCATAAATCGCTGGCAGTATTTTCAGAGAGGATTCTCATCCTACTTAAAGCTTTGGAAGGACGGAGGGGAACATAAGTGGCTGGTGATTCTAACTGTATCATTCCCCCCCCCCCCCCCCCCCCCCCCCCCCCC